CCCCCCTTCAAGTTGTTAACTACCTCAGAATATCTTCTAACAAACAATTCTGGCAGTCGTCACTTGCCCTAACCTTTTAAAAGTCTATGGAAAAGCAGAGAAAATGGTAACAGACACACTTAGACTATTAAACTGGTACCCGCACTAACTAATTTACATGAATGTAGTTGACGTTAACCTCTGGTGCATAAATCAGAGGCTGAAGCTGCCTCAGAATTTCCAGAAAATGCGTTAGCTTACTTCCTCCTTTAGGGCAGGCAGTCGGTCTAAGGCTATAAGTACGTTACATACGCGGACATAGTGTGTACTTTGGATATGGTCCATGTCACCAAAATTTTGCGTTGACAAGGATCGCTGAGGCTCCTTGTGTTCTAGTTCTCAGGCCCTTATGAGACTTGCAGCACGGGCTTTAAACGACATGCATTTATTTTGTCGAAAACCTACAATATTTAAAACGGAAACAAATTCAGCATCTCAAACACCAGACCAATCTGACCTAGCAAGCCGAACGAAAGACAACACAATAATTTTGGAGTTTTCGATTAGAAGAGAGGAGGGGATCTATAAGAAAAGCAGGAAATTGATAAAAAAGGGGAAATCAGTTATTGAAGCGTTTTTGGTCATTGATTGCATCTCAGGCTCGATTACCATAAGCTGTTCAGGAAAGTAGCCTTTGCTCCTGCCCTAGAGTGGTGGAAGGGTCGTAACCAGACTCGATTTAAACCCACCTGATCGCTAATTAATATTGATTTTTTTAAAAAAATCAATCCCGTTAGTGATCCACTAGACTTCGAGTGATTTTTTATATCAGTTAGTAATACGACACGCATACTCTTTGACCTGCCTTGGCTCAGTTTGAATTTGTCTGGCAACAGAAATGAGGCAAGATTCAGACTATTGACGTATTAACATTAAGTACTGAGGTCTTCGTCTATCAACACGACGAATACTCTTCTGAAAAATTTGTTAAACTAACAAAGCGTTAATTCCATCGTTCTTATCTTAACTACTCATGGTCAAACAACTTTGATCACGAAATCCGAGGCCATTACTGATCGTTTATCTACCTTGTTACCACACCATAAATTCAGCGCTCTTCCTCTCCACGTCAGAGAAGAACGGAAATGACAGTTCTTCAGGAGCAACCTAGAGTAAGCATGACCGATGAATTGGATCTTTCAGCGGTTTTTCCACTTCACTCATGTCCCACCTTTGGAGTGGGTATTTCAGGTATGTCACGTCTTGAACTTGGGAGGAACATGGACATCATAGCTATCTATTATCTCAATCTGCGCACCGATTTCTTTTTGATCAAGACGAAAGATTGTTTTATCAAAATAGATCAAATTTTTTAAAATGGCATTTGTTGCCTTAGTTAGCCGATAACGTGACCATTGATACTCTTTGACTTTTGCAGTGCAATTCCCTCAGGCACTAGACAGGGAGAATCGTTGCATCACTTTGCAAACGTCAGAGCAATTCAATAATTGGTTTACTTTGTTGCGTGTCTTTTATTTCAACTTCCGGTGTTTTCGTTACACCGGAAATCCATCCTATTCGTACCCACATTTACTATCCCACAATGCATGATGCACTTATCTCCGCCATCTTACTTTTCTTTGCTCTCAAAACAACTACAAATTACAGCTTGTATCACTGCGTTTCCCAGCGGGTAATTTTGACAATAATTTATACAGGAATCTTCCTCAATTATAAAATATCAACTGCTAAGGAAGATAGCACGTCGGAGGGACGTTATTTCAAGAGAGCCCACCATTGTTGTGTCATATCGAAATTGGTTTTAAAGAGAGGGAAAACGGAAATAGGCTACAGATTTCCCTACAGAGTTTCGACAACTGAATGTCTAACGACAACTTTCAGCCAGAATTCAAGCTCTATACTGGCTGTTGATATACTGTTGTTCTAGTCAAGATGAGAGGAAATCGAGGTGAATGACAGCGACATAAAATGTCTCGGAATTCGAGCAAGAGAAACAGTTCTAATCGTGGATCAACGGGATCGGACACAGCTCGTTCAACACTGAAGGTTGTCCTTTCAAATGGCGATTCCAGATCAGTGAAATGTGGCGAAGCAACAGATGTTAAGGTTGGTTTATCCATTTCGTTGTATATCCAGTCTTTTCGTGGCGGCATTTTTGTGCTTTTTATTGTTTTGATTTTAGTATTTAATCGCACGAAAACTCTTCAGGAATTCTTGGTGGGGTTTACATAAATTCAATTGGTGCCTGGTGAGAGATTGCCGAACCGTACCCAATGATTTCCATCTTTTCTTTTTGTGTTGTTTTGTTTCTTGTTTTTTTTTCTGTACGCGTTTTACCGGTACTCTCTCAGCAATGTTTTCTCTGTCTAATCTGTGAGCATAATTTTCGTGGTTGAACATTGTAACAATTTTTTTGCGACGGATATGGTTTGATATTTTAGCCGAACGTGCTCTAAATTTATTTTAGAAAAGTAACAATTTAAAGAAATAATACTAGGAAAAGATCTTTGGATTATCTGGTTCTATCCTAACAATCTTACTTTGCTCGAAACCAGTGTTTTATTTTGGACTTCAACAATGTGTTTTTTATTACGAACCATTATCATAATGAACCCGTTTTTTTCAACTGTATTGATGACGATCCGAAATACGATAAAATGTCAAGAACTAAAGATCGTGCAGCAAATATAGAGGATTCTTCTGTTGGATTTGCTTCTTAACAACACGGATTAAGTTTAACAACAGTTACTGTAATGAATACAATGTTGGAGGTTAATTCACTGCCAGTGAACAATGTTTTTGTTCCCGAGATTTAGCCGGATTGAATAATATTTTTTTTCGAATTCGTGTGCCAGGTACTTTATGATATTGTTGAAAATAAATTTCTTTAGAAAGTACTTAAGGGTCAACTTATAAGATTCCATCTCTTGATCTTGTTTTGATGTCCTTTTAAGATTGTTTTTCATTTCGTAAAAAGAAAAGTTAATTTGATCCAGATCGTAATGATTTGATTAGCATGATTGGCAATTAGTTGATCACTTTCCTTTTATCCTTTAATAAGAATCCTGGTAATTAGATTTGTTGGGTTGTGGAGCTGTCTTTATCACCTAGAATCTTTTGCTTCGATATCCTTTAAATTCCAAAATTATATTCATGCAATGCATAAATATTATTTAGATCACATCAGCTTAGCAAATACTTCACAAGTATGCATTTTGCTACTCTGTATGAGATCTGTTTTCATTTTTCAATAATTATTCCATTTAAATTGGTTGATTAAGGTACTACCAAAGTTTGGTTAGGGCTAGTTTTGATTAGAGTATGTAGGTTATTACATGTTTTCCAATTTTGAAACTGGGTCAGATTTTCTGTAGATCTTCCTAAATATGAGATTAAAAGCAAAGAAGTATCCAAGGAGAGACATAATTTGTTCCCAATGCAAGTTTTTGGCTTTGAGTAGCCATCTGCAGTTAGTTAATGTTGAAATTAATGTTTTGTTTTGCCTTACTCACCTGTACAATGAAATATGTCAAATTGCTGTAAACTGCCTTTTGAAAATTGTTATAATTATTATACAAGTTTGCTTAACTTGTGGAAAGCTAGAAGTTCTGATGCAAACAGAATTTACTGGCTGCAAGACTTTAAAATCTGGTTTTAATTGCTGTCACTTGAAAAGTAATTGATCACTTAAGTCATAAATGAATGAAAGTGCCAATAATTATTATTAACTAGTAACTAGTCAATAATGGAAGATTTGGAATGTTCTAAATCACATGGGATGAAATATATGATGAAAAAAGTCATGCATTTGTACCTCTAGCTCTATCTCAAGTCATGAGACAGACATTTTCTCTGTCCTGTGACCAAATGGATACCTTTGAAGCTGTCTTAGAGAATTTGATTATGTCTCCTCAGTCATTAAATATAATAATAGTCATTTATCACTGTCAAACCTCTGTAGTTATTTATTATTTTAATATACTGTCTTATGGGTGTTCATGTCATTTAAGCAAAAACTCACTTGTAGTATTAAGCCTTTTTTAAAGGTATATTAAAAGGTACACATTTTAGGATTCAACAGCAACTGTAATTACTACTGTGGCCTTAAAAACTTCAGACTGGTCTGTGGGGTCTCTTGACCTTATATCAGAAAGCTGATTCCCTGCAATTAAACACCTTCGATTTAACCTTAAATCTTGTGGCCAAAAAAATGTGCACATTGCTTTTGATAGTGCTTCTACTTTTCAGTAGAAGTTGTAATCTTGGTCTAACACCAAATTATTGTATGTAATTAGCCAGAAAATGTGTAGCAGCTAGAGAGGAGAGTAAATGATCAGATTTTGGGTGCCAAAGGGTTAAGGAGAAGTTCAAATTTCATTTCAGTCGCCACCTTTTCTCTTGTTTTCCCTTTATGTTTTATGCAATGCATGGTCTTTTTTTCTATTGAGATAGATCTCAACTTTTCATATTTATTTAATTTTGCTATTACTATGTTAAATTACAGTTATAAATAAGGAGGAAGAGAAAAAAATGGTAATGAGACCCTAAAAAATTTTTCCAAAGCTGGTTAACATAGGTTGCCCCACATGAAAAGCAGATTGAGTTATTTTAGACAACAGATGAAAGGGACAATATATTGACAAGGAAATTTGTAATTATAATTTAGAGTGCAAGAGACAATGAGCAAGTGTTTCAGAAAAAATGTTTTGGTTTATGGCCATCTAAATTCTTTCAAAATACATGATTGCAAATGTTTGTGAAGCAGAACAAATGGAATTGCTGCAGGTTACTTGTATCTTGCAGGATCTTGGCTTATAGCTGAGAGATTTCCAATTTTGTTTGGTAAGCATCATGCTAGTATCAGCTTTGAAAAACTTAGAGTCTCAGCCTATGG